CAGAGTCCCCAGCAGCGCTAACCTGAGCTTACAGCCAGCCCATTTGCCCCTGAACCTTGCATGGAATGATCCATTTTTAGAAAAGTGGGGGTGGGGAGGGGGGAAACATTGGGAAGCTGGAGGTCTGAGCCCATTCCCTCTCTGCCTTTCTGTTCTTCTGAGAACAGAAGAAAAGGTCTGATTGAACACATCTTGATGGATACCCCTCCTCTACTTTCCCCTTTTATAGCCCCTAATGTATTTGTATAGTGATGTCTGTCTCCACCTCTCACAGTATGTCCCACTGTGGGGCCTTGGCCCCTCAAATAGTGCCTGCCAAATGGTGTGTGCATAATTAGATTCTTTCTAATTTGCCTGGGTCTAGAACTAGAGACTTTATCAGCAGATAGGGATTTTCCCTTAATAATGCAGTCCATAGAGGAGTATGCAATAATAGATAATTTGGGGAAATAGAAATTTCATCCCTGGTCTCGTCCACCTGGCCTGCCACACTTACTCAGGGGGGGAACCTGTCTTTGAATGCACAGCACCCTCTCAGCAGTAGGGTTCAGAGGAGAATTCTCTCCTGCCACCTGTAAACACTCAGGAAGGCTGTTTGATGTTCCCAAGTCCCAGTTCCAACACCCCTTGAATTCAAGCTTGTAACCCAATGTGCCCCACTTGCACCCAGGCCCTTCAGCCTCTGTACTTGGCTATGCCAGACTTTGACCTTTTCTAAATCAAACTGACTACAGGGGCTGGAGTGCTTCCTGTGCTGCACCTCTTGGAAAGAAGCCCCCTGCTTCTTCCTTTGCACCTGAGCCCTGGTTCTTGCCTCCTACCTGTGCTTTATGGGCTTACATCAATTCTCCTTTCCCCTGCATTGGTGCCTCTGAGGAACTGTTTATGTCCACTACAGAAGTGAAGGTTCAGTGAGGACAGCAGTGTATAAGTGGGAGAGGGAGTGGAAAATGATTAATTATCACAAGAATGTTTGCCTGGAGCTTTAACTACACTGCTTTCCTTACTCCCCATCCCTCCTTTTCTCCTCCAGCTTCACTTAGAATGTTGGTGTTCTGGAGACATTAGGTTTTAACATTCTACACCCAGCACTCAGTGTAATTTATAAATCAATAAGCTGATTGCTCTGAGGAGTTGATTGCCAAGTGCATAGGGTACCTTTTGTTCTGGAGGGAGTGGTTGGTTCACAAGAGGGGGTTGTGGGTGTTGGTTTTGTCCTGGCTTCTGCCATGCTGTTCTGACCTGGAAAGTCTTTATTCCCAGAGATGTATGTAACTTGGAATAGCCTGCCAAGTGCTCTGCATCCTTCTTTTTTGACAGTTTTCCCAGGTTACATGTGTCATCAAAACATTTCTCTCTTGCCACAATAATCTCGGGCTTGTTTTGAATGTGACAGGTCCTCTGGCACCTCATTCTTAAATCTCACTAACATCATTTATACCAAAGATGCTGCCTTGACAGGAAGTGAAATGGTATGATTTTCAATTTAGATTGAAAATCAAATCCAAGTTATGACAACACTGAGACTCCAAAACTCTACAGAATTAATTGTGATTATCTTACCGTGAAATACTTTTTGTAGTCAGAACTGCTTTCCATTTATTGTTCCTGTCAAAGATCTTTGATTGGAAAACCTTTTACTATGAGAGGCTGTCATTTCTGAAACATTTATTTATTTCATGGCCTGTTCAAACCACAGTGTGATTGTCCCTTTTATTCTGTAGATAGTCCCTTGGAAAGTTCTTTATAAACTGGATTTTCGTGGCTAAATTAGTCTCTTAGATGTTCCTGAAGAGCTATTATTTGATTTTATGAGGTCTTCTATTGTTAGAAAAGCTCCCAATTTTATTTAAGTAAAAATGAGGTGATCTTAAGAATCAGACAAATTACCAATAAGCTTCTACTCTTAATGTTCTGGCTTAATGATACCACATTCCATCCCAATACCCAACGGCAGGTTTTGTAGATTGTACATCTATTACTAATATTCAAAGTGCATAGCCAAGAAAATCTACCCTCACGAGAGCCATTCTTTACTCTCTCTCGTCTTGTCCTTCCAGGGGTGAATGTGGGAGGTCAGGTCTAGGAGGATGTGTGATGATGTGTTGGAATAGGTAGTTCCTCATGAGCTTTTACCTTAGCACAGCATGACTCTGTGTATTCTGGTTATTTGTTGCTATGTCTCTTACTGTTCTGTGAGTCAGTCAATCACTGGCTAGGCCTGGTGGCCTGGCAGGTGTCTGTCATCACAGCTATGGAGGAAGCACAATGGCTGGGTGCAGTGGTATGCACCCAGGTGGTAGCAGGCAGCCGATGGCCAAGGCTGTGGTCATCAGAACTCTTGACGGGACTGGATCAGCAAAATGGCTGATGAACATGACTGGTAGTTGCGTGTAAATATCAGCTGAGGGCTCAGCTTGACATGTGACCTCTTGTGTGGTGTATACATCTCACTTGTTGATTGGGTCCCAAGGATGAGTGTTCCAAAAGAACCAGGCAAGACCCTTGAGGCTTCTTCAGACCTTGCCTAGAAATCTCAGGACATGATTTCTTCCAGATTCTATCTGTCTAGAGACTTAGGTCAGCCCTGATTCAAGGTGAAGTGAATCAGGCTTCAGCTTTTAATGTGACTAGAAATAATGGTGGCACCCATTGTTAACCATTGCCAAACTGTTTCAGAAAAAGAAGATTCTCTGTAGGAGCAAGTTTACATAAATTCAAGAGGTAATGTAGGAGGGCTATAGAATATTTAACATGTAGAAGTGAATTAGCCAGAATGATTGATTGGAACTCAGGGCAGGGGAGCACTAATTGGATGTGCCTCCTTTGGTGGCAGGCAGTTAGTATCCCATAGAAAGAAACTTCCCCTTTCACTGACCCCAGCCCTAACTTAGCCCACCCATATTACAGATGTTTGGGGAAAAAAATACTTGGTAAATTAATCTAAATAGTGTCATCTAAACACATACTTATCTCAAAGCTACCCCAAGTAAATTTCTACTCACATGAAGTCAATAAAGGCATGTTCATATTAGAATAAAAGATAAATGGAAAAGCAGTAGGTGATGTATCTAGTCTGTTTGATTTTTGTTTTCTTTTTTCAGCACTGGGGACTGAACTCGGGAGCTTTGCACTTGCAAGGCAGGTATGCTACTATTTGAGCCAGTCCTCTAGCCCATTTTTGATCATTTTTGGAGATAGGGTCTCCCTTTATGCCCAGGCCTGTGGCCTGAATTGCAATCCCCCTACTTGTACTTCCCTGTGCTGCTGGGGATGACAGGTGCACACCTGCACCCAGCTATTGTTCTCTGATGACAGACATGGGCCCAGTCGTTGATTAAGATGGAGTCTCATAAACTTCTTCATGCCTGGGCTGGCCTCAGATCTCAATCTCCCTTAGCTGGGATTATAGGCTAGAGCCACCATGCCTTGATTCTATTTGCTTTTTTTGTTCATATTTTGGAAGTACTCAAGAGGAGGTTGTGTTCATGGAGTTTCTCATATACTTAAGAGTGGACACTTTTTGCTGCTTGAGAAAAAGTCAAGTCTGACCATGTGCTTAGAAAGATGATTGCCTTCTTAACCTTAATCAGGAAAACAGCTCTCCTCCTAAGCTTTAGGGGCCAACAGGTACCTGGATCCCAGCTGTGTGCAGGCTTTGGTTGATCTGGAAGCAGGAGCCGACAGCTCCCTGAAATACACTTTTTTTTCCACCCATTACAGCATTTTTTTTACTTCCTCCTATATATTCCTCTCTGGCTTCCTGGAAATTCAAATTTGTGTTTATCTGTGCTGAAAATTTAGAAGCAAGTAAACATTTTAAACTACTTATAACCAGAGTCTGTGCCAGGAATAAAGTAAGCTTTGGATTAGACATTACATTAAAATATGGGTCTCTGGGAAGGGCAGAAAGAATATTCATAGATGTGAAAAGCAGATGTTTAGAGGCGATTGGTAGAAGTTTGGCCCAGAATTCGGCTATGTGGAGTCAGGGCTTGGTTGTAAATTACCTACTTCTTATTACATCCTCACCTTTGGCCAGAAGAAACAAGAGTGCTCTTTGGGGTCCCTTTGATAAGCACACTAATTCTATGCATGAGGACTCCATGTTATACTTAATTACCTCCCTAAAGCACTACCTCCCGATATGATTATGTTGGTGATTAAAATTTCAATCTGAATTTTTGAGAACGTAAGCATTCAGTCTATAGGACTGCCCTATTGGCTATTAAATCTATTTATGAAATGCTAGAGATCGAAAATCCAAGATGTCATTATAAAGGGCCCATATTTTTATGCTACTAGAAGAGCCTTTGGTCAAGAGCATAATTTGGAACTCAGTATGGAAGAGAGGAAGGATGTATAATACAAATATAAACCTTCGGCTGTGAACATGTTTGGGAGGGGCTGAACCCATACCTGACTTCTACATAGATCATCCAGATTAGAGACAACCCCTCCTGTTTTTCAGCGACTTGATGAAGAGTTTGTATCCTCCTCACCAGTGGCCTAACCCACCTCTCAGCTAGTACATGAATGCAAACTCACAGCTACTTTCTTCACTTCCTACAAATATCCATAGAGCTTCTGCGATGTGGTAGGTTCTATGATAGTGGAGAAATCAAACATGAGAGACACACAACAAATCAGCAAACAAACAACTATTTTAATTATGGTTTATGGTCAGTGCTGGGGAGGACAGACATGAACTAAAGCATAATAGGAGGGGGAGGGAATTCTTTTCAATCGTGTAATCAAAATAACCCTTGGAGGAGGTAACTGATTACAAATGGAATGGAACATGTACTGTGTGATGTATGTTTTCAAGATCCTTAAGTTGCATGTCATTAAGGTCCAAATTCAAATTCTTTTTCACCCTGTCTGAGCCCATGTTAGAGAATGCCAAATGGATAGCAGTTCTGAGGAGCAGAGGGAAGTGAGGCAGGTGGCCAGACCCCTCCTGGCTGACTCTTTCCTCAATGACAACTTTCTCTCCTTAGGGAAAGGAGACGTGTTTGGAGATGTGTTCTGGAAGGAATCCACCCTTGCCCAGTCCTGTGCTAATGTTAGGGCCTTGACCTACTGTGACCTGCATGTGATCAAGCGCGATGCCCTACAGAAAGTTCTGGAATTCTACACGGCCTTCTCCCACTCCTTCTCCCGGAACCTGATTCTTACCTACAACCTGAGGAAGAGGGTGAGCTGACAGTTTCAGTTCTTTTCTGCCTTTTCCTTTCCTACATGCATTTTGGATAATTACTAGGTCCAGGAAGGTCTCTTCTCTATTTATTTAAATGATGCGGTTGGCTCTAAGCAGTTTGTGCTTGTTGCTTGCTCTGGTAAGCATTTGCTTCAATGTGGGGAAGAGAAGAAATATTGTTAGATTCAAAGATGGATGGATTGGGTGCGAAGGGGATTTGTCTATATATGCATGGGCTTTTATTCCAGTATTATCTAGACCTAGAATTTTGAAAAGATGAGTAACACATAAAATTGCTTGTCAGTAAAATGGCTGTGTGGAGCCACTTGTTAACTGTAAAGTGAATTCTCTCTAGTGACAGGGCCCTGCTTCATGGTGCAAGGCCCCAGCCAGCCAGCTGTTAAGGACAGTTTCTTAAAAAATATGAAATGCTTTAGCTGGGTTGAGAAAACAAAAACCCAACATCCATGGAACGTGGTTGCTTGGAAACTGTTTTGCACATAATTGCCAATGTGTTAAAGAATGATCAGTAGTTTAAGAAGCAGAAATCTCGTTAAAGTTGTTTCCTTTGCCCTCAGATCGTCAGAATTTCTCCAGCTGTCTCTCTGAAGATTAAACGGTCACTTTCCTTCTTTGAATTTTTGTGGTTGATTTTCTTTCAGTAATAAACAGTAGTGTGGTAGGCAGCTCTAGGCTGAGAAGACTCATTTGGAAAGATGGTCAGACGACTGTTCCCCTAAAGAGCCTCCTCCTCCTCATCCCTTAACTCTTTCCTCAGCTCATGGTCCCTGCCTTGATTTACATTCTATCCACATTGATTCTCCATTGTCCTCTCTCGTGGCTTGGGAGGCTGATCAGGTCCTGTTGGTTCTACCTAAGCTCTCTACTGAATTCATACTTCGTTTCCTTCTTCAGAACGCTCAGAGTATTCTCAAATCACCAAGCCCCATCAACCAAGTCCTCTCCAGTCCCATAAAGAATGTGCAGTGAACTTTAAACTTACCTTCCTGCTTTTCATCTTACTCCAGAGCAGTTCTTTATTTATGGCCACTCAACCAACCCAACCCTCCTGAAAATTAATCTTATCCTGTGCAGGATCATGTCCATATACTTCAGCTGTCCACACGTGGTTCAACCTTCAAACCCTGTCCTTCACCACATCTCTCCATGCCATCTCTCCATGCCTGCCCTTGCCACCTGAGCTCCCTCCATGGGAATTTTACATAGATCTTCACGCGTATGACACCTGTCAGGATATCATTGTGTGACAATTTCCTGTTAGTTAACCCAATGACTCTGCTAAAATGTTACCATTCGTTTATCACACGTAATCCTGTGACAGCTGACTGGACTAGATATATAAAGCAGGAAGATACTCAGTACCCTATTCCCAGGGATTCAAAACCTAATACAGAATATCTGCTAGATGAGAGGGATAGTTGCAATGTATGATACTAATGCAGGGGTTGTGATTCACCCATAGCGTTGTGGGAAAATAAAGGAGCAGTAGGTAGAAGAGGAGTCAGAAAAGAAGTAGGAAGTATTGTCTAACTACAACAGGCAAGTGTTCGGGTTAGAGGAAGAGGTTCAGAAAAGTTCAAATAGAGGAATCCAACTTTTGTTCTCTAAGTATTTGGATACGGTTTAAAATACCTGCCATTGCCAGGCACTGGTGGCTTACACCTGTAATCCTAACTACTCAGGAAGTTGAGAGAGATCTGAGAATCACAGTTCAAAGCCATCCTGGGCAAGAAAGTTCTTGAGACTCATCTCCAATTAACTACTAAGAAAAAGCCATAAGTGGGAATAAGTGGAGCTGTGGATCAAGTGGTAGAGCATTAGCTTTGAGCAAAATAGCTCAGAATCAGAACAGTGTGCCCAGGCCCTGAATTCAAGCCTCAGGACTCACATACACAGAAATACACACACACACACACACACACACACACACACACACACACACACACACTGCCTACCATTGGCTTATTTAGGAAAAAATACTTGTACCACTTTTCAGTCCTTTGAATTACACTGTGCTGTGAGTCTCTGGTCAGAGACCTGAGTGCTTATCTTGGCACACTCAGTGCAGGCTCATAAACGTTTAAGGATGACTAGGAGAAAGGCATGGATCTCTGGGTCTCTGTTTGCATACCACAAAATGTGAGGCTGTGATTAGATGAGTTTTCTGGTTCTGTGGTTCTGCCCATTTGCATTCCAGGCGAGGATGAGTGGTGGTGGAGAGGCATGCTTTCAGAGTTCATCCTGGTTTGGCTAAGAACAAGGAATGCTTTGCTGGTGATACTTTTAGGCAAGTAGAGTTTCTTAAAGCCTATTTTTGGGGAGATTGACCCCTTTTTATGAAAGCAAGTTGATTATAATCAGCTTCTAGTGTAGCTGATAATATGGGTTGGAAAAAATATGCAGTTTGGGTTATTTGGAGGGTAATCATCTTCGAATAATTATGGATCAAGTGAATCTGTCTTTAAAAACAACAAATACGACCATAAAAACTACAGTGGATTCTTGTCAGGTTGTTTTTATATGTACAGAATGATTGACTCTGGAAAAAAGGAGAAATTAAAGCTGTAGGCCAATTTTGGCAAGTATAAGACATTCTTTTAGCCAGGTGTGCAAGTTCACACCTGTAATCCCAGTTGCTTTTTTAGTAGAGAGAGTAAGTTCACAGTTTGAGAAAAGCCCTGACAAAATTAGCAAGATATTATCTCAAAAGCAAAGGTTAGGTGCTGATGGCTCACTCATGTAATCCTAGCTACTCAGGAGGCTGACATCTGAGGATTGAGTTTCAAAGCCAGCCTGGGTAGGGAGTCTGTGAGACTCTTACTTCCAATTAACCACCAGAAAACCAGAAGTGGTGCTGTGGTTCAACGTGGTAGCACTAGCCCTGAGCAAAAGAGCCCAGGGACAATGTATAAGCCCTGAGTTCAAGCCCCATGACCAACAGCAAAAAACAAACAAACAAAAAAACAAAATGAAAATAAAAGGGCTGTAGGTGTGGCTCCAGTGGTAGAAACTGCCTAGCAAGCATGAGTCCCAAATTCAATCCCTGTACCTAAAATAAAATAGTCTTTTAAAAGGTCAGAGCTCTCCAAAGAATGAAATAGAGTGCTTTGAGTGGCCTGGGGTTTGTTGATCTGAGGGCGTGGAGGTTTCTCCTTGGTCTTCATACTCAGCAAGATTGTAGAAGAAGTTGAGCTAATTGACCTTCAAACTTCCTTCTCATCCCAAATGCCTTTGAGCCTGGTAGGGATCCAAAGGAATTGTAGTGAGCCTTCAGGTAACAAGGTAGCCATTCTTTTCTGGAGGGGAAAAAAAAGGAAGACTTGTCATTTTATTTTAGTATTGCATTACAGACTCCCATTGTGTCCTTCGGAGATTAATTCATAGTTACATGGGGTATAGGAATGAGAACATTACATGCATGAATTATTCTTGTAGCTATTTTTTTTCTGGCAAAGTAAAATGTATTCTTGTGGCTGTTTCGGGCTTGGCAAAATCAAGTGAGTTGTTTGCTAAGATTTCTGAGAACAGTGCTTTCAACATGTGTTGGGGCAGTTCATCTTATCGACCTCTAGTGTGCAGCACATTCTCTGAGCTGGACTGTGCCACTGTAAATAAGAGCTAAAACAAGTCCTTCCTACTGAGGGTCATTGAGATCTCACATATATTAAAACAAGCACAAGTAAAAAGTGATATAGACCTGGAGGAATCCTGCACTCAGTACATATTTGTCCCCTTTTCCTCCCTTCTGCCCATTCCCTACCTCTCTCTCCAGTCTTGAGGGACCTGAGCTCATGCTTTCCTGCCCCTGATGTGTGAACAGACTTACCTCTTCCGTCAATGTTTCACATGTGTTTTACTTTCCTTTCAACCTGAGAATGAAATCACTTCCCAGCTGCTGGAGAATTGGGTCCTTCTGATGATCATTAGGACAGTAGATGAAATGTACCACGATGAAATGATGTACTGCAGACAAGCAATTAGGTAATTGCCAGCAGTCAGTGCATGGGATAATTGGTATGGAGGTAATTGGTAGGGTGGTTCGCATTCTCTGAATATAAGGTTTTATTTTTAAAGCCAATGTTGTTGTGTATTTGAATGTGTTTGGCGGTGTTTGCTGATGTTAATTATTTGCAGGATGGATTTGTGTGTGTGTGTGTGTGTGTGTGTGTGTGTGTGTGTGTGTGTGTGTGTGTGTGTGTGTTACTGAGGATTGAATATAGGGACTTACACTTTTTAGACAAGCACACTCTACTTAAGCCACACCCCTTAGCCCTTTGCCTTCATTTATTTTATTGATTTATTTTTTAAATTTGTTATCATGTGTATGAGAAGTACTTTGTGCTGGTTGCCTTATTTATTTGTTTATTATTAATATTTTTATTGTGAAAATACCATACAGAGGAGTTACAATTACATGAGCAAGTAATGACTACATTTCTTATCAAGCATTGTTGCCTCCTCCTTAGTTTCCCCTTACCATTCCTGCCCTCCTAGTCCTCACCCCCACACCCCACAAAAATTGTTTAAATAGGGATACAGGTGGATTCATTGCAACATGAGATGTACAAGACATTATGTTGAAAAATGAGCCTTTGTTTATTTTTTTGGATAGTGTCTCATTCTTTCATCTGGATCAGCCATGGACCATGATCCTCCTACCTCTGCCTCTAGAGAGGCTTGAATTATAGACATGAACCTTCCTCTACCTGGCATTTCTGGGAAATGGAGCCTTTCTCACTTTTTGCCATTACCTGAACTGCTACTTTCCTATCTCTGTCTCTAAAGTAGCTAGGATTACTGGTATGACCCAACATGCCCAGCCTCTTAAATGGATTCCTCCCTCCCTCCTTCCTTCCTTCCTTCCTTCCTTCCTTCCTTCTTTCCTTCCTTCCTTCCTTCCTTCCTTCCTCAGAATATATTTTTTAAATCATGATTAAGGCTAAAAACTGGTGAGTTTGAGAGGGAACTGGGATTAG